GGTTATATGAGTCGCGCCGTTCATTCAGCTCTTCCAGCAGCTAGTAGTATTCCAGCTCCTCCTAGACCTTAGGAGCCTTATTATGCACCTCCAGTATCTAGTGTGCCTCCTACACGGGGTGCTTTCAGTGGTCAGTCCAGCAGACATGGCCCGAGCCAGTCATAGCCACCACGTCCTCCCAGAGCTTGTTTTGAATGTGGTGACACACGCCATATGGTAAAGGATTGCCCCAGACTTAGGAGGGGTGCACCTCCACAGACTTCTCAGCCGCAGCGTACCCCGCAGAATTCCCAGGCTATGGTTACAGTGCCATTTGCTACCCCACCTGCTCAGCCAACTAGAGGTAGAGGTAGGGGAGGTAGAGGTTGCCCTAAAGGGGGAGGCCAGGACAGATATTATGCCCTTTCTGCCCTTACCAAGGTTGTCGCCTCCAATTGTGTCATCATAGGTATTGTCCTGGTTTGTCATAGAGATGCATCAGTTTTATTCGATCCAGGCTCCACCTATTCTTATGTGTCTTCTTATTTTGCCCCGCATTTGGGCATATCTCGGGATTCTTTGAGTTCCCCTATCTCGGGTTGTTTTAGTGATTTTGAGACCTGAGCTAATTTATTATTGCTCAGCATGATAGATTTCAATGTTATCTTGGGCATGGACTAGTTATCTCCCCATTATGCCAATTTTGATTATCACGCCAAAACTGTGACGCTAGCTATGCCAGGTATTCCGCGAGTTGAGTGGAGGGGTACTTTAGATCATACTCGTAGTAGAGTTATTTCTTTCCTTAAGGCTCAGCGAATGGTTGAGAAAGGGTGTGATGTGTATCTGGCTTATGGGAGAGATGTTAGTGTTGATACAACTATAGTTGATTTAGTCCCAATAGTACAAGACTTCCGTTATGTGTTTCCAGCTGATCTTTCGGGTATGCCACCCGACAGAGATATTGATTTCGGCATTGATTTATTTCCAGGCACTCAGCCCATTTCTATTCCTCCTTATCATATGGCTCATCCTGAGTTGAAGGAGTTGAAGGAGCAGTTGCAGGAGCAGTTGCAGGAATTACTTGACAAAGGTTTTATTCGGCCCAATGTATCAACTTGGAGTGCTCCTGTCTTATTTGTGAAGAAAAAGGATGGTTCTATGTGTATGTACATTGATTATCACCAGTTGAAAAAGATTATAGTAAAGAACCGGTATCCTTTACCTCGTATTGATGATCTGTTTGACCAGTTACAGGGTGCACGAGTATTTTCTAAGATTGACTTGCATTCAGGTTACCATCAGTTGAAGATTCGGGAGCCAGACATCCCGAAGACTGCTTTCAGGACTCGGTATGGTCATTACGAGTTCCTTGTTATGTCGTTTGGGCTGACCAATGCCCAAGTAGCCTTCATGCATTTGATGCACAGTGTGTTTCGGCCATATCTTGACTCGTTCGTCATTGTTTTTATTGATGATATTCTGGTATACTCCCGGAGTCGGGAAGATCATAAGTAGCACCTGAGAACAGTACTTCAGACTTTGAGGGAAAAGCAGTTATATGCAAAGTTCTCAAAATGTGAGTTTTGGTTGGATTTCGTGGCATTCTTGGGCCACGTGGTATCGAGTGAGGGTATACAGATGGATCCGAAGAAAGTGGAAGCAGTGCAGAGTTGGCCTAGACCATCCTCATCTACAGAGATCCGCAGTTTTCTTAGATTGGCGGGTTATTACCATCAGTTTGTTTAGGGGTTTTCAACAATTGCAGCACCTATGACCAGGCTGACCCAGAAAGGTGCTCCGTTCCACTGGACGGAAGAGTGTGAGGCAAGCTTCCAGAAGCTCAAGACAGCTTTGACTACAACCCCAGTTTTGATATTGCCTATAGGTTCGGGGTCTTATATTGTCTATTGTGATACCTCGAGGATTGGCCTTGGAGCGGTATTGATGCAGGACGGTTGGGTGATTTCCTACACATCCAGATAGTTGAAGGTACATGAGAAGAATTATCCTGTCCACGATCTTGAGTTAGCTGCTATTGTTCACGCCTTGAAGATCTGGCGTCATTATTTGTACGGTGTTGCTTGTGAGATCTATACAGATCATCGGAGTTTGCAGTACCTGTTCAAGCAAAAGGACCTTAATATGCTCTAGAGTAGGTGGTTAGAGCTGCTGAAGGACTATGATATCACTATCTTGTATCACTCGGGCAATGCCAATGTGGTGGCTGATGCTTTGAGTCGCCGAGCAGAGAGCTTGGGAAGTTTGGCTTATTTACCAGCAGCGGAGAGGCCCATGGCAATGGATGTTTAGGCCTTATCCAGTCAGTTTGTGAGATTGGACCTTTCGGATCCCAGTCAAGTTCTAGCTTGCGTGATTTCTTGGTCTTCCTTATTTGATCGTATCAGGGAGCGTCGGTATAATGACCCTCATTTGAGGACAAGGTTCTGCATGGTGATTCTAGAGATGTGATCATTGGTGATGATGGGGTATTGAAGATGCAGGGTCGGGTCTATGTACCCAATGTTGATGGGCTTCGGGAGTTGATTCTAGAGGAGGCCCATAGTTCACGGTATTCCATCCATCCGGGTGTCGCGAAGATGTACCAAGATTTGAGACAGCACTATTAGTGGAGGTGGATGAAGAAGGTTATAGTTGGGTTCGTAGCTCGGTGCCTCAATTGTTAGCAGGTAAAGTATGAGCACCAGAAACCTGGTGGGTTGCTTCAGCAGATAGAGATTCTGGAGTGGAAGTGGGAGCGGATCACCATGGACTTCATAGTTGGACTCCTACGGACTTCGAAGAAGTTCGATGCCATTTGGCTGATTGTGGATCGGTTGACCAAATCCGCGCACTTCATTCCTATTTGTACTACCTATTCTTCAGAGCGGTTGACGGAGCTTTATATCCGAGAGATTGTTCGTCTGCATGGTATTCTAGTTTCCATCATTTCAGACAGAGGTACTCAGTTCACATCATGGTTTTGGAGGGATGTACAACATGAGTTGGGTACTCGGGTGGAGTTGAGCATAGCATTTCACCCCTAGACGGATGGACAGTCCGGGCGCATTCTTCAGATTCTTGAGGATATGCTCCGTGCGCGTGTGATGGAGTTTGGAGGTTCTCGGGATCAGTTCTTGCCACTGGCTGAGTTTGCTTACAACAACAGCTATCAGTCCAGCANGGGTTTCGCCTATGAAGGGCGTTATGAGATTTGGAAAGAAAGGGAAGTTGAGTCCGAGGTTTAATGGAACTTTTGAGATATTGCGATGTGTTGGGGAGGTTTCTTATGAGCTTGCCTTACCTCCCAGCTTGGCAGGAGTTTATACAGTATTTCATGTTTCGATGCTCCGGAAGTATCACGGTGATCCGTCACATGTATTGGATTTCAGTTCAGTCCAGTTGGACAAGGATCTATCTTATGTTGAGGAGCCAGTGGCAATATTGGACAAGCAGTTTTTGAAGCTGAGGTCAAAGAACATTGCATCAGTGAAGGTTCAGTGGCGGGGTCAGCCGGTCGAGGAGGTGACTTGGGAGACCGAGCAGGATATGTGCAGCTGTTACCCTCATCTTTTCACTATTTCAGGTATGTCTCTTTGCTCTTTCGATGATGAACGAATGTTTTAAGAGGGGAAGATGTAACGACCCGGTCGGTCGTTTTATAAATTAACGCCCCGATCCCCTATTAACTGCTTTTCCCATGTTTGTTTCTGCTATTTTGATTTGTCGGGATGATTAGTGGTGCGTTTCGGAGTATTTTGGGATACTTAGTCCCTAAATTAGAGTTTAAGCTTTAGAATTTGGACCGTAGTTGGAGCAGTATGAATATGACCTCGGAAAGGAATTCTATCAGTTTCGTTAGCTCCGTTGGGTGATTTCAGGCTTAGGGGCGTGTTCAGATTGTGTTTTAGAGGTCTGTAGCTTATTTAGGCTTGAAATGCCGAAAGTTGAATTTTTGAAGTTTCTGGTTCGATAGTGAGATTTTGATCTAGGGGTCAGAATGGAATTCCGAGAGTTGGAGTAGCTCTGTAGTGTTGAATGTGACGTGTGTGCAAAAGTTTAGGTCATTCGGACAAGGTTTGATAGACTTTTTGATCGAAAGCGGAATTGGGAAGTTTTGGGAATCTTTCGGCTTGGATTGGACAGCAATTTATGGTTTTAGCATTGTTTGATGTGATTCGAGGGTTGGAATACGTTCTTATGATGTTTTAGGATTGGTTGGCATGTTTGGTTGAGGTTCTGGGGGCCTCAGGTGAGTTTCGGCTGCTTAACGGAAGTAGAATTGGACTTGGGAGAAATCTGAAGGTTGCTGAAGTTCTATCATAACCGAACCTGCGATTAGGAGACCGCAGGTGCGTGATCGCAGAAGCAGTCGAGGAGCCGCAGATGCAGATATGTGCTTGGAAGCCATATTCTGCAAGTGCGGTAGTTTGAGCGCTCCCGCGAGACCGCAGGTGCGGTAGAAGAAGCACAGGTGCCGCCCAAAGCAATTAATGAAATCTCGCAGATGTGCACCTGCGGCCGTAGGTGCGGATCCGCAGGTATGAGGAAATGTCCGCAGGTGCGGAAATCTTGGGCCATAACATATATAAAGGTTCAGTCGCGATTTTGCCCATTTTCTTCACCATTTTCATCTGGAATTTTTAGCTTTTGGGAGGTTTTTGAGAGAGGATTCAAGAGAGCTTCGAGGAGGTAAGATTTTTGGAACCCAAACTCGTTATTATTGTATTTTCTACTGATTTTGGCAAGGAATATAGGGGAAATAAGGGTTAAACTTTGGGGTTTAGGGTTTGAAAATGGAGACCTGGAATTTGGGGATTTGAGGGGTTGTTTGTGGTCCGATTCTCGTGTTTTTGGTATGTATGAACTCGTGAGAGTGTGAGGATTCTGAATTTGTAAATTTTACCCGATTCCGAAACGTGGGCCCAAGGGACATTTTGGGCGATTTTTCTAATTTCACGTATTAGCTTCGAATTAATTGTTGAATTAGTTGCTTGAAGTTATATTTACATTATGCAATTATTTTGAATAGATTTGGGCCATTTGGAGTCGGGTATTCGTGGCAAGAACCTGATATCGAGTTGATTGAGCTGGTTCGAGGTAAGTGGCTTGCCTAACCTTGTGTGGGGGAACTCCCCTTAGGATTTGGTATTGTTGATATATGAAATGCCTTGTACGTGAGGTGACGAGTGCGAACATGTGCTAATTATTGAAAATCCTATTTTCATTAAGTAACTATAATTGTATTTTTCTTCCTTGTTGTACATTACTTGCAATTTAAGCCTATTGTTAGTTTAGGGAAGCATGCTTAAGTGACTTAATTGTTTTACTTGTTCAAACTGCTTTATCCAAATTCTGTGCAGCATGTTAGGTTAGAAATACATGGTTTACCTTGATATGAAATTGGATTGAATAGAATATTCTTCGTGTTGCTGCTGTGTGTTTACTTTGGGACTACGGGACGATATCCCGGGAGATTCCCCTGCTTGTTTACTTTGGTACTACGGATCGATATTCTGGTAGATCCCCCTGCACATTTATGATTGGGACTATGGGACAGGACCCGGTAGATTACCCGTACTGGATAATTACTTTGGGACTACGGATTTGGTATCCCGGGAGTTTTCCTTGCACATTTACGATTTGGACTACGGGATGATATCCCGGGAGATCCTCTGGACATTTATATTTGGGACCACGAGACGATATCCTGGGAGATCCCATGTTGCTATTTCTGTGTACTGAGTTAGATTCTTTTCTATGATTTTATTCGTTGTAGACTGTTAGCATTCTTATTAAATTGTCGTATTCCATATTGTTTTACCTCACTTATATACTTATATTACAAGTAGGGCCCTGATCTTCCTCGTCACTACTCGATCGAGGTTAGGCTTGACACTTACTGGGTACCATTATAGTGTACTCATGCCTTTTTCTGCACATGTTTTCGTGTGCAAATCCAGGTTCTTCGGCTCAACTATAACATCAGTGAGGCGAGGCGATCTTCAGGGACTTCGAAGTATATCTGCCGCAACCGCAGACCGAAGAGTCCCTCTCTATTCTTCCCTCTAGTTTTAGCTCTCTTGTATTTACTTTGTTTAGACATTCTGGAGTTAGAACACTTGTAGTTATTCAACAGCTTATGTTTTCATGAGATTCCTGGTTTTAGGAGTTGTTTTAATTTGAGAGCTTATATTGTATATGCTAAGCGACATCTTAAACGTTTTATTTATATTTTATCCGCAATTTTTGGTTAGTTTTATCTTTTGTTTCCTTTTTCTGAAAATTGTTAGTCTTACCTAGTCGTATATACTAGGTTTCATCACGACAGTTAAAGGAGGGCGAACTCGGGTCGTCACACGAGTCTGCCTGAAGAACAAGGTTTGAAAGCTCAAGTCTACTCCAAGTTCAAGTTTATTTCAAGTCCAAGCAGCAGGAGCCCGCTTGAAAATCTGGGTCAAGGTTCATTATCCTTCAAGTTCAAGTAGCAGGAGCACGCCTAAAGAACATGGTCAACTTTATCTTAAATTCAAGCATCAGGATCCCACCTAAAAAATAAGGTCGATTTCCCGTTTCAAGTTGAAGATTCAAGGAAGATTCGAGACAAGAAGTAGATAAGATCTTGTATTTTTCTGTTATTTATTTTGTAATTTTTCCTTCTATTTTTGACGTAATGGCAGGAACCGCGGACCGGAACCTCGACGGCACTTCACTCGACTCTCTCCAGCTCGATATCCTTCTCATTTTTCTTACTTCTGAACTACACGTGACCTGATTTCTTTATAGCCAAGGATATGTAGGCAGCTCATATACCAGGGTCAGGTCACACTCTTTTACCTACCTTTACTTTCTTTGAATAAGTATCGAGTCAGAGGTTAATTACATTGCTTACTTAATTCTTTGCTTGGAAACTCTTCGAGTTTCCAAGCAAAGAAGGGCAGCTGTAAGCCCGTAATTTTTGACCCACGATTTCTAAAATTAGTAAATTAATATATTTATTTATTTTAATAGGATATCAATTTATAATATTGTATTTTTAATATTTATAGTTTCATTATGTGTTCATTTTTATTTTATTTCATTTAGGGTCATTAGTATTTTGTTGTAAAATCATTTTAAGTTTATTATGATTTTTATTCTATCTTTTCTATTTTTACCTTGATATAATCTTTGAAAAATACAAAAAAACAATATAAATATAATATAGTTTTATTTTAATGTAGATTTATTTTAGTTAAAATCAATTAGCATTTTATTATTTTTGAAAGAAAAAAAGAATTGGGCAATTTTTCTTGTCTAACTTTTGTTTGAGAGGCTCCAGGAGAAGGCCCAAATTAGGAGCCCGCTTCTTCCCTAACGCGGCAGCCCATCTCCTCTTTGACCCATCAACCCAACCCACCAAACCCTTTTTAATCTTGGCCATCCAATCTCTCATCATCCAATGGCCATACCCTATCCACTCATAATATAAAGATACAATATAACAAAAAAAAACTAATCTCTAAGAACTCTAGGAGACAAAAAGCGGCAGACCCCTGATTTTCCTAAAAACAATCGGCCCTATCTCCCTCACTGGAGCGAAAAAGAATTCACACACATACATAGATAGAGAAACGGGGAAGGGGGGGATGAGAAAAGAGGGAGCATGCCCGCCAAGTTGCTGATTTTTTCGAATTCACATGCACCTACGTATTCAAAAGGTTCCTATTTTGGTTCTTGACTTCGAGTCTAACATTGACTTTAACAGACATTTTGAAGCAAAGAGAGAGTCCACACAGTGACGAGCTTCCGAAAGAGCATAACAAGGGATAAGAAAATGTGGCATCGGTGGACCTTAGAAAAAACGAGGAACGATTAAAAATTTTGAACATCGCAAGCTTTAATCTGTCGTCGGTCATGTCGTAAAGATTCACCATAGCCACTGTTTCTATCGCTGCCGCCAAACATCGAAATCCCATAGGAACTTTTATCACAGAAAGACCAGCCTTCACTTTTGTCTCCATCACTGCTTGAGCGAGGTCCATCGAGGTTACCTTTATAGTTTCTGGTCCAGATTCGAATTTTGGGTTCAACTTTGCTATCGAGTTTCATTTTGGTTCTCAAACATTGTTGCTGGACAGAGATTGGTTCATTATTGTTGGACATGTCACTTTGAGAAGGTCCATCTCTCTCTCTCTCTCTCTCTCTCTCTCCCTCTCTCCCTCTTTAATCTAAATTTCAATGACGCTATGTTGATGCTTGTCATTGGATTTACTTGTGCTAATTTAGCTGATTGAATTACATTGACTGAATATATTACTGTTGGTACGCTACACTGATTGCTGAATATTAGTTGATTTGAGTCAAAATGAATGATTTAGAAAGAATAGTAATTAATGAATCCCGAAGAAACAGTGATTCTTCAATTGTTAAACCATGAGGATTTGATCTTGAAACATAAAAATAATGAACTGTGTGTTGTTGGGCATTAATTAAAAATATTAGTGAGTCAAAATAGCATTTGGGTCTTGGTATTTTGGCATAATAATTGTCACACCTCCTTTTTTACTACCTTGGAAGGGAGTATAAGGGAGTTTTTTTCCAACTTAAAGTGACAATCGAAACGGGATTATTTATTTATTAAATTCAGAGTCGCCACTTGGGATAATTTTATGGTGTCCTAAGTCACCGGTTCAAATCCCGAATTGATAAAAAGATTGACTCTGTTTTACAGTCTGCGAACACAAAAAATCGGGTAAGGAATTCTGTTAACCCGGGAGAAGGTGTTAGGCATTCCTGGGTTCCGTAGTTTTCGCACGGTCGCTCAACTGTTATTCTTGGCCTATTATCTGATTTTAAAACATATTTCAACCTATGGTTCAACTTTAACTTAAAAACTGCTTTTATTTATTTTAAGAAGATTTAACATCGTCTAAAATATGTCTTTGGACCACGCCACATGAAATGCATCCGCAATCCGAAACACATTTTATTCAACATATTAAGATTTGGATTTGGGTCACATGAAATGCACACCCGAGTTTAGGAAGTAAATTTGAAAATACGCACCTAAAGCAACTACGCACTTTCAAATTTGCGAGGGCCATGAAAAATTTAACTAAATGGCACGCCTCGATTTCTAAGGATTAAAATTAATGGAGGGCCATGGGTTTTGAGATTATTGCGAGGCCATTAAATTATGGACATTAATTGTGATAAATAAAGAACCGATCGCTACGAACAGTCATAGAGTTGGCAGATTTAATTCGATCAATTCTTGCACTTGACAATCATGCCCAACTACTTATCTGATCTCTTTTGTGCCTTATCTCCCCTTTTATGTGAGGGATTAGGGTATAAAAAATGAAAAAAGGGATAATGGGTTAAATGGGTATTGGTATTGGAATTGGGTTGGGGTTTACAATTGATATGAGCCTTTAGGAATTGGCTCAATTTTAGAAGAAACAAAACCAAAAATACATTCTTACTAATTTCCTTTTCTCCTTTTTCTTTTCTTTAATTAATTAATCTATTTTTGTAGAAATTCAAATTCTTTATTTATTTTTAACATTAAAACAACTAATTAACTTAAAACTAAAGAAAAATTCTAATTTAAAAGACTAAAAGTTAAATATGTAAAAATGACAATTTTTAGGATTTTTTCTATCATTTAAACATATTAAAAATGCATGAAATGCAAATAAATAAAGAAAAAATTCTAAAATCAATTAAAAGTATTTTTGGTCTATTTTTAGGAGTTATTTTCATGTAGGGCAAAAATCACGTGCTCACAATAATTCCAAAGACTTTGAGCTGCTGGGATAAATACGAATTGATAGAGTTCATAAATAATTTAGGTTTGGATTTAAAGGTCATGCAGCTCGGTTTACTGTTGCTTATTGTTTTGTGTGTTGCTTCATTTTATTGTGTTTAAGGCCGCTAGTGACATGTTTAGGCCGGCCACACATGGGTAGGCAATATTAGGACGTTCTATTATTATTAGTTTTTGAGGTGAGAGGTTGTTCCCTTAGTTAAATTTATCCGGGGAATGCCCAAAAGGATTTGTAGATGTTTTATTCTGGGGAATGTCCGGTAGTATATGTAAATGAAGGCCGAAGACGGGACGATGGGAGGAAGCGTAGAGTAGGATTTTAGTCTTTTTATTTTTATTTCTTATTCTTATCGTATGTTCTTTTATTTAGGTAGGGGACAACCTCGGACCTATCGTGTATTTATTTTTCTTTTGTGTGTTTTAACTTCAATTCGAATTTTCTTTAAAGCCAATTGTATTCCCGTGCTCTCCAGGTGGGCGCCTAACTGCTGAACTTGAATTGTATTCCCGTGCTCTCCAGGTGGGCGCCTGACTGCTGAACTTGAATTGTATTCCTGTGCTCTCCAAGTGGGCGCCTTATTGCTGAACTTGAATTGTATTCCCGTGCTCTCCAGGTGGGCGCCTGACTGCTGAACTTGAATTGTATTCCTGTGCTCTCCAGGTTGGCGCCTGACTACTGAACTTGAATTGTATTCCCGTGCTCTTCAAGCGGGTGCCTGACTGCTGAACTTGAATGTATTCCCGTGCTCTCCAGGTGGGCGCCTAATTGCTAAACTTAAACTGTATTCTCCCTATTCTACAAGTGGGTACCTGATTTCAACAAAAATAGACAAAACAAAGAAAATTTTCTACCCCAGTTTAGTAGCTGGGCACATATGTGAGTGTTAAACTGAATCATATTACCAAATATTACTAAGAATTTGAAAGCTAGATCTCGTTATCCAGGAGGGTCCTAACAGCTCCTAGTTAAACGACAGTTTTAAATCTAAATCATATCCCCTAAAGGTATTACTTTTGCTACATCTTGTTATCTAAGCCGATCTTAAAACTACACCCCATTATCCAGGAGGGTACTGTCAACTCTTAATTAAACGACAATTTTAAATCTAAGTTATATCTTCTGAAGGTATTACTTCCGCTACATCTTGTTATCTAAGAAATTATTAAAGCTACATCACATTAACCAGGAGGGTCCTGAAAATCAAAAGTCAAGTTTTATCTTAAGAGTGACTATTTTACGGCTAAATTATATTACCCTACACCAGAACTTACGCTAAATTTTGTTATCCAATGGAAATTTTAAAGCTAGATCCCATTATTCAGGAGGGTCCTGACAACTCTTAATTAAATCCTATCTTAAACATGCAAACTTTGAAACCAACTTATATTCCTTGGGGTACATTTATGCTAGATTTGCTATTTATGATTGTTTTGAATTTTAAACTAGGTCCCGTTTTCCAGGAGGGTCCTGAGAATTTACGGTCAAACATGTCTGGTGCTTGCCTTTCCTTGCGGAGGGTTTCTCCGAAACAAACGAGATTTTCTGCCCCTGTTTCAAATCAAGAAAAATCTTGTCAGTTTAAAAATGTGGTGGTTGGTTTGTGGCCTTGACTTTGAGGGCGATTGCTCCTTCACTCCCCATGATAATTGATTTCCACTCGACGACCTTGCTTGTTTATTGATTAATCACTTTCTCTGTCACCCTTATCACGGAAAATACCTCTGATCCGTTCAAACCCAACACCATTCATCTGTTTCATTGTGCTCTTACATTGACATGTACTGAACCTTTGTGTTTCTCATGAATCCCAAAGCACGTCAATTGCCATCCACTCAGTGCGCATGCTGTTCTTTCCAGATTTAAATCACTGGCCTTGGCCTTGAGGTTTGTTGCTCCATCGCTTGCCATGATAACTTTGATTTCGGCTTGGAAGATCCTGCTTGTCACTGGTTTACCACCTTTTGTCAATCCCACCACAGAAAATACCTTTGATCCGTTCACCTAACACCCTTTATCTGTTGCATCGTTCATGAATTGATATATACCAAACCTTTGTATTTCACAAGGATCCCAAAGCATGTTGATTATTACCAGCTCAGTGCGCTTGTTGTCCTTTCCTGACTTATGACACTATGATGTGCTGGCCAGATCCCATTTTGTGCAATTGGGAAGCTGGTGGTAAATTTTGAAGTAA